AATTACTAAGGAACGTGTTCATATCTTTTGTTAGTGTAACTTTTTTTTTTTCCTCCTCCAATCACCTTCTGGGAAGCCTGAATTCCTTCACTGCCAGTAATTCTTGTGTTTTTCTCCTCGGTCTTGAGCCATATTATGGAAGCAATTGATAACCAGCTAGAGCTGCATTTGGCTTAGCATCAGGAAGATCTGCTAGAAATTATTCCAGTTCAGTAGGTACAGGATTTCATGTGTGGAATTTAAATTAGTGGCATCTGTTGGTATCATGTCCTACCCTCCTGCCTACAGCCAGGACATGGAACATGCCGCCTCTGCCCCAAGTTGCTTGCCCTGGACTGTGAACTGGGTGGCAGCACCAGCCCTGGGCCATTTCTGGGGGCTGTCAACGTGAAATGGTGATGCAGCACTTCTGTCTGCGTCTGGTCCGGCTACCACATGCTGTTACTTGTAACCGCCAGTGGTCCATGTCCGCTTCTGGATGCTGCATTGCTTTTAGCAGGAAGGGAAGCAAAACACACAGCCTATGGCGAAGAGAGCAGGGAGGGAGGGGAGAGTCCCCTGCAGCAGCTGGAGCTAAACAGGGGCGTTTTCTCCCCTGGCTTTTGAGTGCCCTGTGCTGGAGTGCTCCTTCCCAGGCTACAAGACCCAAGCAATGTCTGTGCCTGGGAGCGGACACAGACTGGAGCCTGCTGGTCTCTGCGAACATCCCCTGGCACCGGTGTGTTTGTTTAGCTGAGAAGGTGCCCAGCTCCATCTCACCCTGCAGGGAGAGGGGTGCCCGTGTCCAAAAAGCCAAACAAGGCTATAGAAGAGACTGCTTGTGAGGTGCTGCATGGCTCGTGCCTGCTGTCTCCTTGCCAGCCGGCTGCTGGACAACAAGGAGCCTCAGCAAAAGCCAAGTGAGATGGAGTTTTCCAGCCCTTGTTTAATAAAGCATCTGTTTTCTGAGGGGGATGAGATCAGGGATGCGTGGGGGCAGGGAGGAGGGTTTGACATAAATAAATAATTGTGTAAAGCCCATCCTCAGTTGACGCAAGATGACTCACTCCTTGTAAAGGCGAGAGCATAGAGGAGGCAGATATTAAAGACATGAGGACGGGTCCTCAGCTGAGTTTGGTGGAACATGCGGGTGCTTGGTGCCTCTCCAGATCTGGCCTGTTATCTTTTGAGTCATGTTTTGTGTCAAGCTCCTGCCCTGCTTTTCATTTTCACCTTAGTTACAGATTTCTTTCTTTGAACACGGTTTAAATTTTAACAAAGCCTTTTTTTTTTACCCCCTTCCCTTCCTAGTTGCTTCTCTAAGCTGACTTCAAACAGAAGGAAAAGGAAAACTCAAAGCCTCTGTCTGAGCCTGGACAGTCTTTGTCACTGAGGAGAATGACTACCATAGGGCTGTCCCCCGTGTGCTGCAGTGGGGTCTCTTCACCCACTCCCTGCCTCAGTGGACCCAGGCGACTTCAAAAGGGAGCAGCTTTCCTCTTTACAAGTCACCCAGGCCAGGATTAACATCTGCTAAACTCAGGATTAAAGAGCCTGGCAGGTAACAGGAGCATGGAAACTTGACATCTTCATTTGATCAAGCCCATGAGGTCCAAGTCTCCTGGCTTGAAAGGCTTTAGTAGCTAATTCAGTTGCTGACTTTGATGTATAGATTGAATCCCCAGACGCAAGTGGTTGGGCATAATTTAGTTGTTTGCAAAGGGTTTACTACAGCTGGAGCTCTGGCTCTCTACCCCATGGGAGCGAAGGAGATGCTTCTGCAACGGGGCCGGTTCGCTCTCGAGCACAGCTGCTCCACAGCTGTGGCAGTGGCCCATCGGCTGTGCCACCAGCAGCCACCTTGTGGGCCCGCTGCCCATGCTGGGGGCTGGGACAGGGGAAGCTCGACACCTTTCTCAGCGAAGGTGCTCAAATCTGGGCTCACCTGCGCTGCACAAAATGGTCACTGGCTGAGGGCGCTAAGCTTGCGAGAAGTGTCCGTCTGGTCCGTGTCGGTCACTGGGCTGGCAGGATGGGCTGTGTGTGGGCAGGGTGTGATGAGTTAGTTGTGCCCCTGTTAAGCGTGTAAGCATCCTTTCCCAAAGACCTGGTGGTGTGTGAGCAGCGTGGGACAGCACTGCACTGCAGCAGGGCTCTCTTGAGACCTGCTGTATCATCTGGCACCCGCAAGCACACACAACTTGCACCAGCCAAATGCAAGCATTGCACCTCAAGCCAGCAAGAATTTGCCTGCAGCAGTGGGTGGAAACGCACAGAGCTCCTGCAGTCACTGTGGTAGGAGCACAGCGCGGCAGCAGTGTGTGTGTGTGTCCATGAGACACCATCATGGTTCCCTCGCTGTTCCGCTGCCAGAAAGGTCCCTCATGGACAGTGGCAGCTGTGAGCACCCTTCTCCAGCTGTGGCAGCTCCTCTCTCTCGTCTGCAGCCAGAATTAGTTAGGCTGTCATGGTGCCGTCTCAATCTAGCCAAGCGTCTGCTTGACAGGGCTTTAGCAAAGCCAAAGCACTTGCAGGCGGCCTGTTGAAGTTCTTTACAAAGCTGTTTATCATCACAGTGGACAAGTGGAAAAACATAACACTGCATACAGAGAAGGTCCTAGCAAATTACAAACAAGTCTTAAAAAAGTTACAGTTGTCTCTGAATTTGAATAAACAAGGCTCTCACTGCAAATGTGTTGCTCTGATGCGCTCTACAAAGAGTCCAGTGAGACTACAAAGAACGAACTACAGCCCGAAATGCTGTGCCAATAAACAAGGAAACTCCGTCTGCTCGCAGAGCAGCAACCCCTTTCCCCAGCACCGGATTGCTGAGGCTGTGACAAGCAGCGTGAAGCAGACCCTCTGCCCTGGGTGAGTTGGGAGCAGGATGCTGTGAAACCCCTCGATCTTGTCAAAGCCAGACTGAGCAGCGTTCAGATCTTCAGCCCAGCCTAAATGAGTGCTCGCAGCTCAAAATTACCTCTGAAATGAGCGGCCGTGACTGGCACAGTCACTGGCACTGTAATTGGTGCCAAACTCTGTCCTGCGTGGAGCTGGGCTTGATCCTGCTGCCACTTACTCCGAGACCGTGTTTAGCTGCTGCAGCCCCACAGACGCTCCTGCCCCCCAAAACAGCACCCTGGACGCCTGACTGGTAACAACCAGGCATGTCACAGGATTTGCAACAGGGCTGAGGTTGTTGACATGCTTACAAACAGCTCTAAAGGGTGCTCTAAACCAAAGAGGCAGAAGTGTCTGCGTTGGAAAGCATGAGGGGGCTGCCAGGGACACTCTGTATTGCTTTAGTCTGTCAGCGAGATGAGGACAGGAGCTGGAGTTTTAAACTGTATTTTCTACCTAGTATACGAGCAAATAATTCACCGATCAGAACAAACTGCGAGCACGCTTCCTTCCAACACAGGCAAATGGCGCCTCTGGTGAAGGCCCTTCCTGCACCAGTGCCTCCTCCCCTCCATCAGGGCAGACAGGGAAAACAGGAGCAACACTTTTGACAAGGTGCATGGGTGTCTGATTTGTTAAAGTCGCTGAGAAGTCTTTAAAGGCCTTGCTTTGGCAGATGTTGTTGCAATTGCAATCCAGCTCATCTGTAACTGTGGGCCCTTTTGCTTCAGTAAACAAATGGCTCAGGTGCAGAAATCGTTCAAGTTAGCTGACTTTCCTCTGGCACCGTCTAAAAGCATCATCTGTCTCCCTGTGAAAAGTTGGTGCTGATACCATGGACAGGGAGGAAAAGCCACTGAAAAATAATGAACAGTAAGTTGTTTTTCTTACCTTTTTCTCTTTTTTTTTTTTGTTTTAACTGTGAGTTTTGTGAAAAGCTTTATGAGTATTTTAAAATGTGTTTGAGAGCTGAATGGAGTAGACAGAATTTGGGACTGGGAAAGGTCTGCTACTGTGTAGGAAATAGAGAAACTCTGACCTCCAAGGCAAGCCTTTTTTCATGCTTTTGCTTTATGGGGCAGATGTGGGAGATGGGAAGGTGAGGGTTCATTGGTTTGGCATTTTAACTGGAGATTCTTCTTCCAGCCTACCAAGGTTTTGTAGGTTAGTCAGCAACTGGAGAATTGTTTCTCAAAGTTTTGTAGGGGTAACACAGGAGAAGGAAGGAAAATAAATACTGCTTTTGCATTTTAGGTTCCTTGTACACATGGTGGGGTAGAATTTGAGTTTACCTTTACAAAGCATGCCTAATTTGCACACAAAATAATCAAATACTCCACTCTGCAAACTGGCTTCTTGAGGGAATAATGTTTTCTTGCTGGTCCTCGTCATTCCTACCTGCCCCTTGCCTTGCTCTTTCTGCTAATTCAAGCAGAGAATAAAAGCTTTCCAAGCAAATCTCAATCCTTCTCTCTGCTTACATGTTGCTGGGGGAAGAGATTTCTACGTGACGCAACTGATTTTCAGTCGTCCTTTCTCTCTACTGAAGCCAGGCAACTTAATATTGGTGTATTGCCACCAGCACGCTGTCTAGGCCAAGAGCCAAGGCAATGAACAGCCTGCTAATTAATATTTCACATTTATCTCCAGACCCCCTCCCCAGAACAAACACTCTGAAAACAGGAGGTAGCAGTTTCTATGCAGCCCTCTGGAAATTTTAAGCAAAAGTGTTTTACTGCCAGTTTTATGCTTTTACAGCAATGATAGTAAGAACTTCTGGTTGTATAAAAGAAAACGTATTGGTTTCAATATGGAAAAAAGATTATTGAAAGTAATCTGAGCCTGATGTATCCATTTGTGTATCGCCCCCCCCCCCCCCAAAAAAAAAAAAAAAAAGAAGGCAAAAAAAGCAGTGTCTACAAGTCAGTGGAGAAATAAGGGCATAATTTCTAGGCAGGAGAAAGGTATTAATGTTGAAAACATTGGTACCATGCAACTATTATAGATGGATTATGTTTCCAGTAAAGCTATGTATGTTCGTTTTCAGTTATGAGGCAGATGATAACTGTGAGCTTGTGGAGTTTGTGACTCTTGCACTCTTTCTGGCATATATGTGTGTGTGTGTGTGTACATTTATGTATATAAATAAGTTAGAGATTATTTACATCAGTGTACAAAATAAATCTAAACTCAGTTATCAAAATGCATACACCTGCCAGTGGATTTGGTCTGTTAACACTTTGCATTTCATCTTCAAAGCACCATACAAACATGAATTATTTACCCAGGCAACTTCCCACTCACCAAAAGGATTAAAAATAACAGGCAGGGTAAGGGATGGAGCTGAGGGAGCACAGTGTTCATAAAAAGGCAGCTAATCACATATCTCTCTCCTGCCATAAGTACAGGGGATTTACGCCTTTATAAACTCTGCAGTTGTAGGAGCAACCTTTGTAACAGGAAGCTTGTCAAGATTGGAAAGTCCTCATTCAAAAGCAAATGATCCGTTCTTCATTTTCAAAAGCTTTGGCCTCTTCTTTGCTTATGAGATTTCCGTTTAAACTGAAGGGGAAAAATGAAAGGGATGTGAAAATAAGGTAGTGACTGTTGCCCATCTTCTATTTTTCCAAGATTTTGGAGCAGAGATCACAGCTTTGCAACGCCGTGTGAGCTGCATGCTTCTCAAGGGCACACAGTTGTGAGCTGGCCTCGGGCTGGCAGGCTACAGCACTGCCCTTCCCACTGCACATACCAGGAGCAAGGCTGCTTCTTTAGAAACAGAAACTGAACTAACACCTAAACTTCACTGAACTAAAATCGGTGCTGGATACCCACCTGTTTGCATTTCAGCAAGCAGCATATAGCTGACAAAGGTTCTTACCATGCAGTGGGCTAGTTTAAAGAAATGTAAATAGTCTTCAGAGCGTTTTGGATCTTCCATGACAACATGGGAAGAAAACTCTGTTAAGTATTCAGGCATTATTAATGTGAAATGACTTACAGCAAATTTTCAAGTCTGGCTACATAAAGCTGATCTACATTGATGTCTATGCCCCTGGAAATGAGCAGCTTGGTTAAGTGCATCTTTCAGAAATGCTGAAATCTATTAAACCATTTCAACTTATGAAATTATTGGGGTTAATGAACACCTCTGAAAAGTCAGGTGAGACTCAAAAGATAGATTTTGGTCTGATGATATAGAATTATTTGAGTGAGAACTGATGCCTCTTCTGTAGACGAAAGCTGACAGTGGCCTTTGAAAGAAGCATCTCTTCCACATCTCTAGGGAACTCACTAGTCAGATGGTGAGTCATCATCTTTCTAAGCAAGAATTCAGTGTCCTTTCACTAAAACAAATATATATTTTTAAAAATAAATTTCATGTTTAGTAATAAAGCAGTGGTGCTAAAACCAGCACGGTTCTATTGACTCCTGAGCTCCCCAAGGTGAGGGAAGGAATGTGGTATTTGGCTTTGTGCCTTACAATGCACATATGTAACTATGTGATGCCTACCTAATCTAAACCAAGCAAATCTTACAAAAAGTTATTCTTCTTGTAGCTTAGCACTTACAGTGTGTTTGGAGCACCGCCCAAAGAAAATCCAAGCGCAAATTCTATGAACCAAATTAGTAATGCTAATTAAATGTAACCATCTCCTGCTTGTTGGGATTTAGCTCCTGAAAAGCATGAAGATGTTCAGAAGTTTAAAAATAAATCAGGACAAGCAAAACTTGGTCTACAAATTTAGGCCGCAATTCTGCAAACACACGTTCTGCAAATCAGTGGTAAAGACAGATGTGAACTAACAAAACTGTTTGACTTTTGTAACACACAGGGAAGTGTTTCAATGACAGAGGCTTTTTACCTATTTGAAACCCACATCTGCCAACTACAAGCCTTCCCTCACATAAACTTGCTCTGAATTTTTTAGGCTGGAAAGTAGTAATGCCAGAAGTGTTTTAAAGGGAAGGAAAGTTTACAAAGGGATCTTTACCAGACTTCTTTAATAGCTGTGTTCTCCTTCAGAGCTTCGCTGAGGTACTTCACCCCTTTGGCTGTAATTTGATTCTGGATAAGCCTAAAAAGAAAGCACTTCATGTCAAACTACCATGCAAACTAATTTACAGCATATGCACAACGTATGTTTAGTTTGACATCAAGGAGCAAAGCTGCGTTTGCCACAAGACGACAGTTGTGATTTTTATCTGCGAGGATGATACACAGTATTGGTCAAATGCCCCACATGGACTTTCAGAAACAGAGTCCAGAGTAGCAGTCTTTTCCTTTTAAGCTTGCATGTGGTTGCATTCTGGAGATACTGAGCTTAATTACATAGCTGACAAATTTCCACTAAGAACTGTTTACTACTGTTACGAGATTGTGATATTTGGACTCTTTGAGACAGACTAACCTCTTAGCTCTGTTTTCTTATTAAGAACACTGTGAGACATTTTAAATTGATGTACAGAAAATTCAGAGTACAGAACCTGTGTAGGCCTAGTGTTTTAGCAGTTATAATCTGCAGGTCCTCCTGTCTTGTTTATCAGACCAGCAAGATCTTTGAAAAATAAGGCATTGAGTTTGATTCTGGTATGAGCGGGGGCAATTCCCAGTGAAGACACCTTAGCAGCCATAAAGTATGTCTCATCTGAGCTGAGAGAAAAAAATGATACCAAAGATCCTCAAGTAGCACAACTGATGAAGCAGTAGGTAACTCTTATTAACCACTATAGACCATCTCCCTAGCTGAAAATGAAAAAAGCCCCCTCATCTACCTGAGTATAAAAATACTCATCAGCCTAGCCTAATACAATACTCACCTTTCAGTCTACCATGGTGTTCCCTATACCTGTACTATTCCATGTGACTGGCTGCATGAATCTCACCGGATTCAGGATGAGGCTGAAAATTGGAATGAATTGAACGATCTCTTAGGGAGGGAGGGGAAGAAGGAAGCAGGGAGGCATTCCCATTAAAGGACCTTCTGCACTTGGTAAATGAATCAAAATGCAAAAGGATCCAGTAGATTCTCTCAGCTCACTTTAATTCTGCCTCAAGTTGAACTATCTACATAGGTTACTACCTTTTGGAAGTATTCACTGGTATAACCAACAAAGTAGGATATAAATTTATCTACTGGCAGAAACCCTTGGACAATACTGAGCCATCTTAAAGACATGTATATTACTGTGCCTGCTTTGGATTGGGAAAGTTTTATTATGAATTCAAACCAAACTGCTCAGTGAAGCATCTCTGCAGCTGCGCACAAAGAAATCAAAGCCTCCTCCTCCCTTTTTATTTTCAGGGTGATGAGCACCAGAGCTTCTACTGCTTTCAAAAGAGGCTACAAGTACTTGGCACCTCTGACAGCCAGCATCCTTCCCAAGGGATGAGAACTAAGATTAATACAAGGAATGCTAGAGTGTGGTTAAAGTCTTTGTAAAGCTTGCAAAGGGACTCCGTTTGTTATGTTCTCATGATCACTTGGAATGAATGGGTGGCTTTTTGTTTCACAGCCCACGTAGAATGATAGAATGGTTTGGGTTGGAAGGGACCTCAAAGATCATCTAGTTCCAACTCCCCTGCCATGGGCATGGACACCTTCCACTACACCAGGTTGCTCAAAGCCTCATCCAACCTGGCCTTGAACACTTCCAGGGATGGGGCATCCACAGCATCTCTGGGCAACATCTGCCCAGCCCTATCCATGGACGAATTCTTGTGAACCTCTGGATTAGAACAGCCAACCCTGTATTTTATTAGAAGTTTAACAAGTCTCTTTGTGATTGCTAGAAATAATCTCTGATTTATGTCTTACAGATGAGTGTCTTCGTAAGTCAAAGTGCTAGCCCTAGAAGAAAACATCAGGCGAATGAGACGTGTTTAAGTGTCTGTCATGTAAGTTCTTGGTTGAACAGTAACAGCTGAGCTTGCTACTTTCATAATATAATGATAAATAGTAAGAATCATAGTAAGGTTATTCTATTCTAGCTGCCTGCTTGTATTTTTTTTTGAAACTTTTGTGTTTGAGGCCAGTACTGTTCCCCTAAGGAGAGATGAAATCAATTAGTTCGAAAGTTACCAGGACATACAAACAGCTTAAACCTTTCCCTGTATGAAAGCAGGTTCAAAATACTAAACAGCAGCTTTATTAACTTTCCATTAGAACTGTCTACAACCAGTCAGCTGCATCCAGACTATGCACAGAAAGCTTACTGTGACCTACATAGACTTGGAAGGTGAAGCTTTAATGCAGTGACTGCCAAAGAGCCTGTGTCTCTGTGGAATGTAACTCACCATAAATGCACCAGTTTCTTGTTGACCTTCAGCATCTCTGCAAAACTCATTGCTGCCTCATCATCCAGCTCATTTTTAGTCAACCTAAGTAGGGGACAAAATTCTCACTTAGGATGTTATCATTATTTTTCAGCTGTCTGTTTTTCCAGCCTGTCTGTGACTTAGCTTTAGACAGTCAAAGGGGGATGTACTGTTCCTGCCCTGAGAAATTTCTAAAGACTGGACACAAAGAGATACTGAAGAGAAGCCCTAGAGGTAAAAGAGACAAGAGTATCAGATCTTTATTTCTCAGAGCAATGTTCTAAAGATAATTTCTGATGATGTTTTAGTCTCTAAAGGGTGGATAAAGTGCAGCAGAAAGAGATGAAGAGGTAGAGACAACACTGAAGAGGTGCAAAAACTGAGGACAAAGAACTTGAGTTCAGATGATGGAAGTGAGAGAAGATGGGGAAAGCAAGATGGAGGGAGCAGAGCAAAGCATGACATTAGGACATTGGAATGTGTCCTAAAGGACATGTGCTGCTGATCCATTACTTATGTCCACATTCTTCCAAAGGGATATATCTTACAGCTTTCTGGTAGTGAAAGCATAGAGGATGAGAGGAGGGAGAGAAGAAGGAAGGGGAGAGTAGGAGGAGGTGATGAGATTGAAGGAAATAAAATTAGGCTGCAGCTTTCTCTGGAGAAAGAAGAGGAGGAGAACTAGACCACACTGTCAATTACCAGAATATTTTCACGGAGTTGTTGTGTTGCATAGCTTCAGCAATGCTTTTGCCTCCTTCTGTCGTGATGCCATTGAATGCGAGACTGTGAAGTAGAGATACAAACGTGTAAGAAACAGCCACTTGGCCCTTCTGCTGCCAAACACTAGTGAATATCCTGGCTGATCCGTCTCCCAGTTGTACAGTTCAGTGTTTGGGTGTTTCAAAGGCTCACGTGCTTTGCAAACCACTAAGTCCTTATGACTTTCACAAGTGAGAACAGTTCACAGGCTGCAGCCTGAGTGCAGGTCTTTCATACAGGCCATAAGGTTTGCTGCCAGTGAGTTGTACTCTTGAGACTGACAGCAGAGTTGCACCCAGTGATTTTGAGAATCAAGGCTTTTAACAAGCACAAAGAGTTGTGCTTAGCAGTACACAGGTTTTTACATGCATTTGTCATCCCAAGTCCCTGTACAAACTGGGCATTTTGTCCTCCAGGTCCTTCAGGCGCCTGAATACCTCATTCTTCTTCCAAACACAACACCTTCTGTTGCGTAGGGAGAGATGAGCTTGTAAATGCATGCTTTCCATTACAAACCACAAACATTTCTTAGTCTGCCTTTCATTCTTTGAATAGACATTGGCAAAATTATCCAGTTAAAGTTATGCTCCAGGCTTTGAGAGTTGAAAAAGCATTTCTCCCCTCAAAAGCCAAACCAGAGCCTGAAAATAATGCAAGGGCTCAAAAAAAAGTAGAAAGGGGGATCAACACAAATATATGTTAGCATAAGTCCCTCCTAGATTCAGCTGAAACTAGATATTCTCAGTCCATCATGACTGGGCCTAAACCCAGCAAATATGCTGAAGTAAACTGATGTAGTAGGGACTATCTTCCCTCAGTCTTAGCATAAAGCTACCACACGTGCTAACTGAATTCAGATCATGAAGCAAGATCAACCAGTGGAAGATAAGAAATGAGCCCAAATGCAAGTACGCTGCAGAGCCAAAGATTCACCCTGTGCAGGTGCCAGCAAGACCTGGCCCTAGCCAGCACAGTTACTTCTCCTTATTTTTGCAAGCACATTCATCAGCATCTTGCACTCGTCCAAGAATCCCAGGTGTAACCCAGCTCTGATTCAGGCTCAGAATGTTTTCTTTCAAGTCTGATGCGTCTGGATGCATTCTGCAATTATGGGAAGATGGCTATTTCAGATAGCTTTTAAGTTTAAATATATCTAGGTCACTGCGCCTGTTTGGCTTTTAATTTTTTAAGCCCTGCTGTCCACTTGCAGAAAGGAGGACAAGGCACGAGTTTTGACATCCCTGGATCTGAAGTGGCAGCAATGAACTCTCCAGAGATCCCCAAACTCCCCGAGTACCGTATTCCTAAAGAAATCAGTGCCATGTGCCACCTTGTGGGGAAACCAACGAGCCTTGTCTGCTCCCTCACTGTGGAGGCCAGTGGAACTGGGAGACAAATGGAAAGGATCGCCATGAACTCAGTGCTCCAGCTGTGTGGACGGACTCCAAACCAGCGGCAGCAGCCACAACATGCATCTTTAATCTCTAACCAGCATCTGAAAGTCTGGCCGCTGGCTCCTCCCCGTGCTGTGCTATCAACTTCACCCATGCTAGGGCTTCCAGAAAGCTTGTTTGAGATGAATCACTGAACTCCAGTGAGAACTACATCTCATTAGCTCTGAATGTGCTGTGTCGTAGCTCTACTGGAGTACAAGATGAACCTGAATTTAAGAACGCCCCAGACACTATCTAAACAGTTTATTGCCTAAAAATTACTTTGTTAAAAGCTGTTGTACCTTCACAATAGAAACTGTTAACACTAAGTTCACTGGGAGCCTGATTTCTGTGACAGCTGGTGCATCCTTCTGCTAGTGCTCCTGGATCAAAATGGCACCTACTGACCATGTGCTTTCACAAATGCCAGTAACTGTGCAGCATGAGGGGAGGAGGTGCAGATAGAGGAAAGGATGCCAGCCCTGCAATATTTTTAACTTGCTTAATGGCTACACAGGGCTTTGTGATTCAGTCTGGCCTCTTGCTTGCACCAGGAGCCTGTTGGTTACACAGCGACGGCTGCAATACCAGATGGTGTTCCAAGCTAACGTTTGGTGGGAAGTCATTGCTTCAAAGCAGGATGGGAAAGCCAGCGCTACACCGAGCTGCCTGGCTCCGCTGGTGTTTTACCTCACGTTTGTTAACCTGGGGTGGTTCCTCAGGGCCTCTGCAAAAGCCTTTGCTCCTTCGTCTCCAACTTGATTACCCCACATCCTGGTGAAGAGAGGAAACCAGGAGATATCAGGTGTGCTGCTCTGCTGCCCCTTGGCATTGCATTCTCCCTTTTTCTCTTCTGTCCACCCCCAATTACTTCACAGTCTTTTAGGCTTGTGAGAAACCTGGCAGGTAGCTCCCAGCTGAGCCAGCCATGTTCCACTCTCTGCACACCACAGCACCAGCCTCTGCTGACTCACCAGTACCCTAGGGCCACAGCACAGAAGCAGCTCTAGGAGACAGTCTGCTGCAGCAGGAGTGCTTTTGGGATCACCTTGCTGCATTGGGCAAAACCTGCACAGCCTTGTACTCTTATGGGGTAAAGGCATCTTGTGGTCCTGTACAGTGAGCTGCCGTAAGAAATACACCAAGTCCTAAATCCTGTCATTTTCCTGCTCAGCATTTCCTCCCCATAACCCTGCTGCAGTTTTGCTGTTACCTATTGGGCACAGACTGGTCTTTATACAGTGCAAAGTACCGGTCTTGGGAAAGATTCCCCAGATGCACATCTGCACAGGGACCCACCCAAATGGGTGAATTTTTGATGTGAACTGCTCTACAAGCTCCCCATCTCCTTCAGAATAGTCTGGCAAAATGGTGACAATTCCTTCAGTGTTATACTCAAGTGGTATCTCCTCTATCTCCAGCTGCCAAGAGAAAGATCAAAATCTCAATGGGACAGTATGACCCTGGGCTCTTCCACACATTTGTAAGGAGTAGTATTTCCAATGGCAAAACAGCTCTTGGTAACACAAAGGGTTAAGAGAAATGCTAAAAGCTGCAGACATTTCATCAACAGTTAATAGCAGTATCTGGTCAAATATTTTCCATGCAGATTAACCACTTTTTAAAAATTCACCCTATATTAGGAGCCTTGAAAGCACCTCTGCTGAGGTATAGGGTTTTTTTACACGGATCATGGCTTGATGACTCAGAGCCACACTCAGCTTGATGGGTAATTAGTTGGCAGCTCTTTTAAAATCAATTGAGTTTTGTGGTATCTGAACACATCCACTTTCAGTACGCTCCCTAGAATTTCCTTGCCCTTCAGTCCCAATGCAGTTTGTTATGTAAATGCTGAATATATCTGTTTAAACATTTCTGTTCAAGCTATTCTAAACCCATTTGGAGTGATTATTTCCTCCACAGGAGAAAATGGGACTCCTTCACTGAAATTACAGCAAGTACAGCACAGCAGACCCAGCTATATGACAATAAAAGTGTGCGTGCTGTTGACTATACTTGTGAAATGTTGCAGAACAACAAAATTAAAGGCCAAAAATCTGATTGTTCAAATCTGATTTTCATATTTCAGGGTTATTGTGACATTCACAATGGCCAAACAGAGGTTTTAATTCCATGTATCTGCGTATTAGATTCTGAGAAAAATGTTCTCCTGTAGAGTGGAAAGTGGGATTTGCCAGAGGGAAAAAAAAGGTAAAAATAATCAAGCCCTCAAGTCTAGCATCTCTCCTGAGAAAGAGGACAGAGATTAAAGGTTTACAGTACATTCAGACCTCTCTCCAATTATAGCAGACTCTCCAGTTTGGAACAGACTAGAGAGAAGGATGATGAGAATTCCTTCTTATTCTCCCAGCTCACAACTTCATCAGGACTTGATGCAGAAGGTTTGACAATTATAACAATGACACTCAGTAACCAGGTACATTGCCAATAGTCATAAAGGCCCTGAGCAACCTGATCTAGTTGGAGATATCCCTGTTCCTTGCAGGGGGGTTGGACTAGATGACCTTTGAAGGTCCCTTCCAGCCCTAACGATTCTATGATTCTATGATAAAACCACCCAGACTTTTAAAAATGACCAATCCCTAGAACAGCTGTGTTGCTGTAAGGAAAGTGGCTATTTTTACATACTGTCCTCGTGTTAGTTTGTCTCTCCTTTAAGGTTCTGTCAGAACAGGTTAAAAAAACCCTAAACAAACATTGTGTGAACTGGTGAACAACAAAGCACCCCTCCTTTTCCCTCTGAGTGGAAAATGTGGCTATGCTTCTGCTCCAGTTTGTTCCAGTGCTGCCGTGGGGAGGAATGGCAGAAGGAAAGAAGGTAAGAATGAAAGAAGGAATCCTAAGGCATTTACAGATGCCTTTAACAAGACCAAACCTTGAGCTCTGCTCCTTAGCACTGAACTTACCCAATTTCAAACATTGTCTTGCTCTTCTGGATGGCTTGGGCAAGGCACTTCCCTCCTTCACTTGTTATTTTGTTTGCTCCTATTCTGCACAAAATACACGAACTGATGAGGTACATCACATACAACAGTACAGCTATTAAAACACCAGCTCAGAAAGCAATACAAGTATTTAAGGCTAATTAATTCTGGAGGCTAGCTACAGTTATCAAAGATTAACCTAGAGTAAAAAACATACTGCAGGCATTTGACCTTTGATTAAAAGACATCATTTTATGTTGTCTTTTACATATTTAGCATGTCAGCCCTCTGAATCAGAAGTTTTACTATAGAGTCTTGGTTTTGGTGCTCAGTACGTTAGAAATGAGCTTTAGGAAATGATCCTCAAGACAAGGACCCCTGCTTAGTTTTTAACATAGTTCATAATATCAGCAGTTGCTATAGAGCACATGAATAACGTGCAGCATGTTTCATGATGCCACAGGGAACAGAATATTTCTTGGTTGTGTGGCTCCAGAGAAGGCTACAGCTGATAAGCACAGATTGTAGTAATTTCAAGTCTTTCTGTTCTGAGCACTGGCATAGGGCAGTACAGCAGTGTCTCTGCCCGGCATTCTACAGAAAACCTTTTCTTTTTTTGGCCTATGTGGGGATATCAAATGGCTGGAGTTCAAGGAAGAGATAAGTCTCAATTGCATTTACATCAATGTAAAGAACGAACCCAAATTCCCTCAACCCACTACATTTACATGAAGTAAAACTGGCTTGTTTGACTGACTTCAGACACATGAATATGCACTCTATCTCAAAATAATCTCTAGGGTTACTATGCAGCCTGAAAGTAATCATCTTCCAACAGGCTTTTTGGTGAGGGTTAGATTAAATAAGCAAAGGACTCTGTCAAAGCAGCGAAAGAACCAGAGTGCTCTTGGGTTTCAAAACTGCAAAATTTCAAGCAGGAAAGATGTGGCTAGTGTGGGGTTTCAGAGCAAGTCAGTGGTAGAATAAAGAACAGAACCAAAGAGTCCCTGGCTGCCAGTTGCTACATTCATACCAGCAGCTGACATTGCTGTAGTTACCTCTATTTTCTGCTATGGTCACAATTAAACCTTTGGTTAATGATCTGCTTTTATGTCAAACCAGTGTTGCGCATGGCCAGACACTCTTACCTGGGGAAGTTCCAGGAGTTTGAGGGAACAACTCACCAAGTGAGTTTGGGGAATTCCAGAATTGAGGTATGACACCAGAACAGCCTGACTCCAATGGCCCATAAAAGACGAAATATAAAGAAGCTTGGTACTAAATCCAAGTGAATTCACCTATTACAAGGGACAGCAAGCTTCATGCACCACTTAAGCCTCACTCAGGTGCTCAAACTGGATTTAGGTAAAGAACAGGTCTCATGCTCTCCTCTTGCTTACTACTACATTCCAGTAAAAACTATGAATTCAAGAGTTTCACCTGCTGCCATTCACTGCTAGACTACTGTAAAAGAATATAACTGCAACCTAAGCTATATTTTATTTGAAACACAATCTTTGTCTTTTTTCCGCTCTCCCTCACGTTTCAACTTGCTTTACCTTAGTTAGGATACTGTAGAAAGAAAACAAAAAATCCAACGTACTTAACGTATTCAAGGCTTGAACATTCTTCAATTAGTTTTGCAACATATTTGGCTCCAACGTCAGTGATTTGATTGTGGTATAAGCTTAAAGAAAAATGACATTGGTAAAAACAGGTTATTC